CAATGCCGTGGGGAGGAGGAAGGCGACGCCACGTACCACCGGTTGAAAAGCCCTGTTCTAAGAGTCATCAGCCCCAGGGAAGCAGGATATGACCTTTGGACATAATAAGATTGACCCATCACCATCAGAATTCCAGAAAGGCACACTCAGACTCAGGTCAAAGTTCATGCCACAGGAACAACTCCAAACAAAAGGCTCCATCCAGAAGGTATAAAAACCTACTCCCTACATGTGTTCAGCCCTTTCTTTCCACTTCTCTTGCTGCCAGAACCATCTTCCTGTCTGGCTCTCCTCTCCAATAAACTACAACCTTCTTCCCAAAGCAGTTGCCATGTTTATTCCCAGCTTGGATGAATCACGAAGACTTTTCTTCCAACAGAGACAACCAAGAATTAAGCCTTTCAGAACCAGGCCACAGAAGTGGCGGTTGAGAGTGCATGCATATGTGCACATCCCCACTTATGTAAAGAGCAGGAAAACGCACAGATGCTTCCACAAAGTGAGAAAGGTTGGGGAAATTCTGCCCTGGATGACTGAGACTCTCCATAGATTCAGTAAAGGAATCCCCCATTTTCTAAAGAGTACAATCTGCCCTACATCTTTTCTGTTTTATATCTATTTCTGTTCTGTTGAAGTCTTAACTTTTTGTTCCCCTTTTCTGCTTGATCTTTCCTGCCTAGTGGATTTTGAAAAGTTGATCTGGTTTCAAGAGCGTGCACTACCTTAAAAAACTGAGAAATTGACCACCTGAAGTGGGTTTGTCCTCCTAGCTGGACTCAAATACTGGGCTCGGTATCGCTGACCACGACAGGGTGAGATAGTGAAAAAAGAATACACAATAGCAGACTGTAGAATTACAGGACATAACAGTTTATTAGCAAGGTTCCAGGTCTGTAAGAGTATAGAATTTCTTCTCCAAAATGCATTGGAGTAGGAACAAGTAGTGAGGAACAATTCCCTTGGCATATGCTCAAAAAGAGGTTGTCTTTCTGGGGCTGCTCTCACTCCTCCTTCTGGTCGGAAGATAACAAAGGGAAAGGAGAAGACTTGTTGAGATAAATCTTAAGAGGACAGAAAAGAACAAGACCACCTTTTGTGGGAATTAACATAACTGCAGATCAAAATGCTTTCTAAATTTGATAAATGCATGTGGATTCTGTTTTATATAGAGTTTTTTAGGTAAATTATGAGGGAAGTCAAGGAAGCCATCAGTCCTCTGGTTGGAAATGATAGTGAAATGGTGATGGGCAAAAAGCAGGAAACTGAGCAGCTTAATTCCTTTTTTGCATCCCTGTTTCCACAGCAATGGGAGGGGAGAGAAATGCAAGTCAAAATAGGCAACAGAAATCCTGGCTACTCTAAATGAATTGAAATATTTGGGACGAAGATTATTCTGAAGCTACTTCCATGGATTTATATAGTTTCTTCTGTGGACATCATTTTATGGGAATTATGGTGTCCTTCCCAAGTTTAGCTTTTCCACACTTTGCAGTTACATGATTTCTCCTCTGTGGAGGCCTTTCCCCTTTGTCCATTTAGGTTTCTTCCCTATGTGGACCCTTTTACGATGAGTAAAATGTTCTTTCCCAATAAAAATAATATCCACACTCCTTGCAATGTATCATTGTTTCTCAACCTTGACAATTTTAAGGCATGTGGACGTCAACTCCCAGAATTCCACAGCCAGCAATGCTGGCTGTGGAATTCTGGGAGTTGACGTCCACATGCCTTAAAATTGTCAAGGTTGAGAAACACTGCAATATATGGATTTTCCCAAGTGTGCATTCTTTCATGAGTAAATGTCTTGTGATTGTTAAAGTTTTTTCCACATTACATGCATTTATACAGACACTCTTCTCTGTGGAGCCTTTTATGAGCATTAAGTTGTGCTGTTTGAGGAAAGCTGTTTCCACATTCTGTGCATTTATAGGGTGTTTCCCCTGTATGGATTCTTTCATGATTAAAAAGATAAATTTTCCAAGTAAATTGCTTTCCAGACTCCATGCACTTGTATGGTCTCTCTCCTGTGTCGATCCTTTCGTGACAAATAAGATCGCTGTTCCAATGAAAGCTTTTTCCATACTCCATGCATCTTTTAGTGGAAAGCAAGGCGCCATTTGTCTAAAAAGCTCTTTACACAGTCCATGCATTTATATGGTCTCTCCCCAGTGTGGATCCTTTCATGATGAATAAGTTCTGTGTTCGAATAAATTTTTTTCCCACTCCAAGCATTTATACGATCTCTGCCCTGTGTGGATATTAACATGAACATTAAGTTGTCTTTTCTGAGAAAAGCTTTTTCCACATTTATTTATTTTCCCTTGTATGAATTCTTTTATGATTAATAAGATAAATTTTCCAAGTAAATTGCTTTCCACACTCCATGCACTTGTATGGTCTCTCCCCAGTGTGGATCCTTTCACGACAAATAAGATCTCTGTTCCAATGAAAGCTTTTCCACACTCCAAGTATTTATACGATCCCTGCCATGTATAGATTCTAACATGAACATTGTCCTTTCTGAGCAAAGCTCTTTCAACATTCTGTACATTGAAATTGTTTCTCTCCTGTATGGATTCTTTCATGATTAATAAGACCACATTTCTGAGTAAACGCATTTCCACATTGTATACATTTATATGGTCTCTTTCCAGTGTGGATCCTTTCATGACAAATAAGATCTCTGTTTCCATGAAAGCTTTTTCCACACTCCAAGCATTTATACAATTTCTGCCCTGTGTGGATTTTAACATGAACATTAAGTTGTCCTTTCTGAGTGAAGCGCTTTCCACATTCTGTACATTGAAATGGTTTCTCTCCTGTATGGATTCTTTCATGATTAATAAGTCCACTTTTCTGAGTAAACGCATTTCCACATTGTATACATTTATATGGTCTCTCCCCAGTGTGGATTCTTTCGTGACAAATAAGATCTCTGTTTCCATAAAAGCTTTTTCCACACTCCAAGCATTTATACAATTTCTGCCCTGTGTGGATTTTAACATGAACATTAAGTTGTCCTTTCTGAGTGAAGCGCTTTCCACATTCTGTACATTGAAATGGTTTCTCTCCTGTATGGATTCTTTCATGATTAATAAGACCACTTTTCTGAGTAAACGCATTTCCACATTGTATACATTTATATGGTCTCTCCCCAATGTGGATTCTCTCATGAAAATTAAGTTGTCCTTTCTGAGCAAAGCACCTTCCACATTCTGTGCATTTATGTGGTCTCTGCCCTGTGTGGATTCTAACATGAACATTAAGTTGTCCTTTCTGAGTGAAGCTCTTTCCACATTCTGTACATTGAAATGGTTTCTCTCCTGTATGGATTCTTTCATGATTAATAAGACCACTTTTCTGAGTAAATGCATTTCCACATTGTATACATTTATATGGTCTCTCCCCAGTGTGGATCCTTTCATGCCAAATAAGATCTATGTTTCCATGAAAGCTTTCTCCACACTCAAGGCATTTATATGGTTTGTCCCCTGTGTGAATTCTTTGATGGGAAGTAATATCAGTGCTCTCAGTGAATTTCCTATGCAGTATTTTAAATGAAGTAAAAGATATGGAATGGTTCTTTGCAGACATTTCACTTTGTAGTGTCAATGACCTCAGCTGCTTGTCATTCTCATTCTCCAGCCCATCACCATCACCTAGTTTGGAAAAAAAAACAAAAACAGAAATTCTCATTACAATTCAAACTGATTAGCAAGAGAGGGGGGTTGTCTCTCCCTATCAAAAATATGCCCGAGTATCAGGGTAGGCATCAGCCATGTGTTAAAACTAGGAGATATTGGGTTGAAATTTTTATCTAAGTCCTAGGAAACTCTAATGGTATCCACAAGATTTTTCAGCCCTAAACCAGATTAAGGCTTTCCTGCTGATAGGTCAATCTGCCCAGGCATTTCTGTGGAGCATCTAAGGCAGACCTGTCAAACTCGCGACATCACGTGACGTCGCGAGACGTATCGGGACTGTTTTGCCATTGCCGGCAATGGGGTGGGCGTGGCTTCCGGATGACGCGTCCTGTCCATAGGCTGGCAGTTTGACACCCCTGATCTAAGGTCTTTCACAAACCTATGGTTAGCATTTCTGCGAAGGCCTTAATTGTTTTCTAGAAGAGTGCCTGTAATGACAACCTTGGACAAAATTGCCCATGTAGTAGCTCAGCTGGTTTGTGATCCAGGGGGGCCTGGTTATTAAAGAGAATCAAGGCGTAGTACATGGAACTCTTTGCACCTGTGGCTGTCCGCTGGATATTAGTTACATGCTATACATTGGT